GACAGGGGGGGGGGGGTAAAAAATAGCAAAAAAATTGGTGGACGTCTTTTATGGATGGCCCCTTGCTAGTTGTTTGCTACTGTGGCATTGTTGGCCACGCTGTTACGAAACCATGTTTAGCGACCAACGCGGTGTTGGAATTTGACCTCGGGGTTAGGGTTTCATGAATGTAAGTGTAAGGCCTCTTTACTCATCGCGTAGAATACCGGTAACTTAAATACCCGGTACCCGATTACATCTATGAAAACAAATTCATTACCGGTATTTTAGTATATTAACTTAGATTTTTAATGTGTAATTTAATAAAATTTAACTTTTACTCTTTTACCGGAACCGACATCGGTCAGAATCGTCTTCAGGGGTTGATGATGTTGAGGTTAAGGACGTCTAAGAATATGGTACTAAGAAGATTAAGATTTCCAGCTGTACACCATGAGCCCTAGCTAGTGTCAGATTTCCGGTAAACCCCCACCCCTTTTTTTTTTTCTGTAACAACGTTAAATTAGTTATTTTGACATTAAACCTACTTTGCTCCAACAGTATGGCATGGCTTTTATTTTTGTATTTAATCAGTAATAGTTATTTGGAGGCGCCATTATTTGCCTTTTTTTTTTGGTCAAGCCAGGATCTTGAGTTTGTACAACACTTAACACCGGGTAGGGGGGGGGGGGAGAGGAGGGAGACGGACAGACTTTCCCAAGTCTCACACCCCTAATTAACGAAAACTATGCATGCTGGCATAATAAATTAAGAACGGCTGGCTATGTGTGGCATCAAAATAAGTTTCACTTGGGATGCCCGCCTCCTCCACCCCAGTACCATAATTAATAATTAAGTTTTAAATTGTAGAATTTAATGATTTATTTTAATTGATGCCCTATTGCACACCCTGCTAGGCTGCATGTTACAACAGCAATTAATAATTATATCTATATTATTTATCCATTAAATTTTTAATTAAGTTACCACAGAGTAACTGTTTCATCTTGTCATGACATTGACATCCCAATATATACTTTATTCACTCAAGGTCTCTAACACTAACATTGTCCACAAAGATGAGTTAAACCTCATTCCAACTACCGGTATATATTTTTTTAAAACTTAAATCAATGTACCAATAATCTTTCAGTCAGAAAAGCACAAATTTCCTGCTATTGTTATAGTTCAAGTGTTTAAAATGTATATTGGCAGATTTCCATTTTCAGACCCCTGCCATACCTTATACCCTTGGGTCAATGAAAATGATTGAAAAGCTTGTGCTCTGGCCAAATCGATGCATCTACTAGATCATTTCCATTAATGGGCTAATAAAACATTATGTAAAAAAAATAATAATACATCAAACAAATGAATAAATTATGAGGTTTATTGACAATTTTACATTATCCTCAATAAATCAATGTTCACAGTCCCTGTATCAATTTGGTCACCATCAATGATACTTAATATTTAGTCAAGTTCTTAAAGACTACCATAGTAACTTCTGTGTTGAACTTTACCTTAGGTAATGATTCGGAAATAAGGAGTAATTTTACTAATAGAACTGGATGACTGACTGACTGCATTCTTGCCTTGCAGCAAAGCAATATCCCAACCCAAATCACAAAAGCACTGAAAACGGATGACAAGACATAATAAAGGTATAAATTGTCCAGATTTGAGTTACAACTTGTCAAGGAAGTTGTCAAGAGCTGGAATTCCCTCTTTCAAGCCCTTGCGTTTACGAGCAGTAATGACAACTTGGCCAGGTTTAGTTGCTGGGTCCCTAGGGTCTCCAGGTAAGATTTGCCAGTGATCAAATACACACTGAGGGAAAGCTTGGCCACCTGTATTGGAACGTAGATCTGCAGTAAATCCTGAAAAGTAGGGAAAAAATATATGTAAGAGTTTCAAAAGAATGGTTTGTATATGAACAATACAATTTTCTGTAGCATCAAGTCATTTATAGCATTTTCATATGCTTGTCAAAATCCCAGACTAAAATTCAAAACATTCCTTTTCAATAGCAGTTCTGAAATCCACTTTTCATCAACACTCCAGAACAGATTTTTAGATAGGTCTTTGGGATCCAATCTTTGTATGTTCCATTTCCACTCTGTACCAAACGATTTGTTTGTAAGAATAGTGGCTTATGGTTAAAATAGTCACATCTACAAGTGTCCCCATCACAGCTAGAGCTATCACTGTCATTACTAGCATGTTGTGGAATATCTCCGAAATCATTGCCTTTGCCTCCAATTTGAAATAATTCCAACAAAGAAATTCCTTTGATTTTTGCAATCTAGAGGGGGACCCTCTCTGGCAACAGAAGTGTCTGTTTTTAGAAAAATTTCACACCCGTCGCAATCACACAAAAATCCAAGTTAAAAGCTTGTTTAGACAGATGACTTAAATGACTGAACCAGATTGACTTACCAAATGATTCATTGACTGGCATGTGTGCTTTGACTGTAATCTGTGGTGTATTGCCAATCTGTTGGTTGTCAAAGACAACACCACGACGCCTGTTGAGTACTCCAAAAATACCTCCAACCGCTTGATCAGGGCACTAAATAATGAAATTTTAAGAAATAAATAAGGTTTTACCACTCATCCCAATAGAAAAATGTCTTGAACTGACCATATCTGGTATATTTCATACAGCTAAGCATAAGGGTTAAGCTGTCCCACTGACCTGAATTTCAACCAAATAAACTGGTTCCAGAAGTCTGGGCTCTGCAGTAAGAGCAGCTGCATACAAAACTCTTCTGGCTGTTGGGATGATTTGACCACCACCACGATGTATAGCATCAGCATGCAAGGTCACATCATATAGATTAAAGCGTGCACCTCTCATGTTCTCCTCACAAAGTACACCCTGTCAAAAAAAATAATCCGTTAAAATTATCAAACAAGAACACACGAACAGAAAACCAAAACATCCAGATACGGGAAACATCAGAAACATGGACTAGAATAAAAATTAGAATGTTGAGGGTGAATAAACAGTAACAGAAGAGGTGCGATTATTTAAACACTAAAGTTGCTATGTTACTGACATAGAACAGTGAAACGTGGAATTACCTCTTTTGTAGCCCATTGAAATCCTGCAACCACACTGTCCTTGATTTCATTCAAATACTGGACAGCTTTAGTGCAATCAACCAAAAGATTGGGACCAGTACCTTCAGGACCAAAACACCAGATCTTTCTGGCTTCGGTTAAATCAAAGTCAAATTTGTCACTCATAAACCTTGCTCTTTCTTTAACTTCTTGCCTAGGTGCAATGTCTCCCTGTAAACAAGTAATTAGTTTTTAGTCTAGAAATTAAAAACAAGTTTAAAGCAGCAAAGCAGATGAGAATAATAGGGGCGGCAACAACCAGTGTGAAGCCCTGCATTTCAGTCACTTTTATTTAAAAATATAGAATTTCTACCTTATCAATAGCTTCAGCACATCCTTCTGGGAGAGGGGCAGCTTTCATGAAAAGACGGTTGTGTTTATTTGGAGACTTGGCTAAGCACATGATTTCTGATTCAGCACTGACTGTCTCTCTGTAGGATACAACAGGTTCTGAGACCTTAATGGGTATTCCAGCATGGTCTTCTTCCAAATCTTTCAGGCATATCTCCAAATGGAGCTCACCAGCACCAGCAATGATGTGTTCCCCAGATTCTTCAATGATGATCTAGCAAGATATAGTGACAAACATTGCTGTTTAATTTCTGTTTAAGGTTAATGCTCCCTTAAATTTAGTCATTATCACATTAAAAACACTTTGATTCAGAAAATAATGGCTTAAATCTAAATTATCACCATGTATCGATAAGACGGGGAAAAAAAAATGTCATCATTATCAAAGTTATCAAGTAAATGAAAGAAAATCAAAGTTATCAAGTAAATGAAAGAAATAGAAAGAACTGACCTGCACCATAGGATCTGACTTTGCCAATCTCTTCAAGCCTTCAACAAGTTTGGGCAATTCTGAAGGATTTTTACACTCTACAGCCACACGGACGACTGGGCTGACACTGAACTTCATCACCCTCAAATTATGGGCATCCTTGTGAGTGGAAATAGTTCCTGTCTTTACCAAGAACTGGTCTACACCAACCAGACCACAAATGTTTCCACATGGGACATCTTCAATGGACTCAGTGTAGCGACCCATCATCAAGATAGTTCTGTTTGATTATAATTCATTTCAAATGTACACAGTAATAAAAAAATTTTCAAGTAAAAAAAAATATGAGGTTAAAATAAATGTCACATCTTACTTCATATTTAAAAATACACACCTCTGAATTGTCTTTTCATAAAGGTCCTCTTTCTTTCCTGGAAGATAATTAGGACCCATAATACGGACTTTTTGTCCTGTTGCAACAACTCCAGCAAAAACTCTTCCAAAAGCATAGAAACGACCTTTGTCAGTTGTGGGTACCATTTTTGAGATGTACATCATGAGAGGTCCTTTGGGATCACATGCTTTAATGGCTGCAGATGGAGAAATATTTCCCAATTAAATATTATTCATAAATGTATACTGCTTCTTATGAACATTCGTAGGGCTGATCTGATTCAGTCAACAATGGCTTGAAAATGGAATTCCTCATTTCCGATAAGACGGGGAAAAAAAATGTCATCACCATCAAAATGCAGCCACAACTTTAAAAAAAATTTCTATAAAATTGTCAGAAAAACATACCTGTGCAGCATTCATCATCAAAAGGTCCTTCGTATAGAAGCTCAGCTCTGTACTTTTGAGCTGTGACTGGAGATGGCAAATGAATAACAATCATCTGAAGCAGGGCATCACCAGCAGGAAGCCACTTTCGCATAACAGTCTATTGTAAGATAAAAAAAATTATTTACAAGCCTAATTAAAAACAGCATGGTTGAATATCTCAGAATAGGCAACATTTCCAAGCAACATTTGATTCAGTCAACAATGGCTTAAATAACCATATCCTCATTTTCCGATAAGACGGGGAAAAAAAATGTCATCACAATCAAATATAGCCAAGAACTTAACCAAAGATATCTTTTTAAAAGCAGTGATAACAACCTTCAAAAGAGGTTTTCCTTCTTGCTCCTTGTCCTCGTGGGTAAGTTTAACACCCAACTTCTCAACCAGGGCTACAGCTTCCTCTTTGCTCTTTGTCATACAGAAGTTAAAGATCTAAGAAGAAAAGGGATAAAGGGGTAATTTCCAAAATAATTTCTTGAAGAACATAAAATGGAAAATTGATAAATTAGTACAGTAAAATATCAAACTAACCTCATATATGGGCTTCAGGATGTAGTTGGTAAATCCTCTGACAGATCCTTGGGTTTGCTCTTTGTACCACTTCTTGTCTTTAGCATGATAGAACTGATTTCCCCACAGCCTCTTCATAAGTGCAGGTTCTTCAATTTTAAACTTGCTGACATACATTTTAGCAAAGTCCTTCAGGGTAAAAGCCCATCCATGCAGGCCTGATCCAAATCCAACAGTTCCATTTTTGGGATCAACCTGAAATTGAAGAGCAACTACTTCAATGGGTAGACCAGGTTGAGATTTACTTACCAATACAAATCCCAAGGCCACTCATTTAAGATAAAACAATTAAGGAAATACTATTGTCAACATACCTGAATGCTACCCATTGGGCCATCATCTTCACCATATGTACCCACAATAACATTGACATTTTCAATGATCCTCTGAAAAGTCTGGTATAAATCTTCAGCCTCCAGTTGCAATGTCAGCAAAGCCAAGTCCATTTTGTTCATGAACAAAACTGGACGAATCCTTTCACCAATGGCTTGGCGCAGTACAGTTTCTGTCTGGACACACACTCCTACAATTAAAAAATTTGAACAACATAAAGCAACAATCCTTTCAATCACAGGGCGATTTTGTATCTTGAAAAGGTGAACATGTAAAGACATGTTATGATGCAATTTTTTAGATTTGTTTTAAAAAAACTGAAAAACGGCTATATATACATAAAATCATTTAACAAATTGATTTACGATATGAAAATTCTAAAGGCTTTATTTTTGATTCAGTCAACAATGGCTTGAATTGTTTTTCTCCTCATTTCCGATAAGACGGGGAAAAAATATGTCATCATCATCAAAAAGAAGCCACAAGTTAAATATTCTAAAAAATACTTGTTTAATTTAAAAACAAGACTCAATCCCAATTCGAAATAGGCACAACGACCACCGCTTATTTGTGTTTCAAATCATTTATAAACCTATAGGCCTGTTATATTTCATTAAAACGTACCAGAAACACAATCAACAACAACCAGGGCTCCATCAGTGACACGAAGAGCAGCTGTTACTTCTGATGAGAAGTCTACGTGCCCAGGTGAGTCAATCAAATTTATCAAAAAATGGTTATTTTCTGGGTCATACTCTTGCTTGATGTATTTCATATCACTTTTTTCAAGCTCATAGTACAGGGTGATGGCCCTGTAAAGCAAATATGCATTTTTAAGCATGGAATAAATGACAAGCCTAGATTTAGAAACTATTGATTACCAAGTGTTAAACCATACACCTGATTACCAAGTGTTAATTAAAACACACGATTATAAAAATATTTTTACGTTGATTTGATGGTAATGCAGCGCTCCTGTTCATCTTTTCTGGTATCTGTAAAACGAGTTTCTCCAGCCTTCGCTGAAGCAATGATACCAGCTTTACTAACAAGAGAGTCGGTCAGGGTTGACTTGCCATGATCGACATGAGCAATCACGGACATGTTCCTGATGTTTCTCTTGTTGTCCATAATTGTCCGAATCTCGTCTACTGTAAAGTTCACCTAAAACAAGAAAATCAATTTCTACTAAGCTGTTGTCAAATGGTGAATAACTTAAATGTGGCATGTTGCCTAAATTGGTGTCGGCGTAAATTTAGGTATGCCCTACTTGACTTTTCAAAACAGTTTGCCATGTGAGTAATGCACTACATGTTATCTATATGGTATCTTACAAGTATGCAAGACATTTCAATAGCCTAAACCCAATCCCTGGTTTCAACAGGTTGTTTTCAGGCAATTTATTCATATTCCATCTTGTTCATGACTTAATTATGTCATTACAAAGAACTGAGATCTCCATAGAAAACAATATGGTGTGGCCCAAATGGGTCAACTTTGTTAACTATTTGAGACAAAAAGCTTGAGGGAAAAATCCTACTATTTGCCTTAATTAAAAAAATACCTTCTGCCATTTTGAAATTTTATAAAACATAGGCATAGGCCAACATGACATCAACATACATTATGATTGCATCTAGTGGTGCAACGACATCATTACACTGGACTACACATAAGGCTACGGTTTAAGAAATTATAATCATTATATTTTATTGTAAATACAATCTTATCAAATTATAAAAGAAAGAAAAAATATGTGTATGTATCCTTTACGCGAACGGTCTAAACATTCCTCGAGTAGGCCATAGATGCCATCCATGGTTGAATGATGACGTCGACAGGTAGTAAAAATTTCGCAAATATATCGCGAAAACCGCAATTATGATCATTATAAATAATTTCAGTAAGTTGCCTAACACTTTGAGTAACAAAAAAATCAAGTTATTATCATGGATGATTCTTACCATCTTGATTGATTGTAGATGAACAACGTCTCTACAAAATGGTGTTGTCCTATCAATGGGACTCTCACGGAAAAGGACGTAATACGTCACGTGATCATTTGAGGCATGGGGGAAAGGAAAGTTTCGTATAATAACCGGAAGTTCGTTTTAATCTAACATTATTATTAAATTATAACAGTAATGACAGAGCTTTGATATTATGTAACTTTCAAGGTTTAAAACTTAAAATGCATGCCAAATCCTTCCAAAATAACAACTAGACATTTATGTTTTGATATTATATTTCCTTTTTTCTTTCGGTTCTCTCCTTCCTTTAAATAGTATATGGTAATAAGGGGAGAGACTGCAATCAGATTAGCAAAAAGGGAAATGAGTTAAAGAATGTATGGTCAAATCTGAAAAAAAGGAACGCAACAAAACAAATAATGTGTCGGCAGGAAGCCTTCGTCAACCAACAAACAACAGAAAACACTGAATAAAATTTAAAATATAGCAATTAGCTGAGAAGTAGTATCCGGGAGGGCATCAAAAGATCGCAATTCTTCCGAACCTGCCAGGACTCCTAAAATGATACAACCTGCTCTGCCGACGACCTGATCTGGTGGCAGTGGTCAGAGAACCTGCTCACATTCACATATTTAATTAGGCTACGATCTGAGAAGAAAATTTCTGGAGCGAACTCATTTAATTTTTTTAAATTCCATTTTGGGAACAACACCCTGTGATGGTGTCACCCGGTCTGCTCCACATCCATCACAACCCCCTAGAGACGCCAGTGTTATTCTGGATGGAACGCCGCTAAACTTGAGCTAGTGACGCCATTGATTTGATGTCATTTAAAATATGAGGCCTACCTTATTTGATAGACAGCGATGATAACAGTTGAAAATTGACCGATTACTTATTAATCGGCCTGCCTTAATCAGCTGATATTGATTGATCGGCCACCTATTAATCATTAAGTATATTTAGATTAAAAATGCGTAATATAATTATAAGTTTTAGATAATTCATTATAATTTCTTAATTTATTATTAATAGAATTACACATCTGTTTTTGTCTTCTTTTTTTTACTTTATGAAGTAAGGGTAACACATTGTTAAGAAAATACCCGTTTCAAGAAATAGAAGCAATCATTTGAACCTTGCCTAGGCCGGGAAAGAAGCCTCAGATCGCAATTATGACAAGTGGACCCTCATCTGCAAATGAAGTCTACTTGAAATCCGCCAGTGATGGGGTTAGAACTTGCCTAACTAAGTATGCCATGGAGGCACGAGCGTAGGAAGAGGGGGACATAAGGAGAGGTCAAACAACAACATTATTTTTACGTAAATGTATCCTTTGACATCAGTCACCTTTTCCTGCAATACTCATTCCATCCTCAGTCATGTACAAATGTTCATTCCTTTCTCCCAATTGTTTAGAATTAGACTAAGAAGACTTTGAAGCAATGGTGATGATTTTTGGGAAAGAGTGGCAAAAAAATGTTTTATTTTTTTCGATGTAGATTACACCCTAAGCTAATTTTAGAAGCAGCTGTCATTCGATTTAAAGTTGTAACCACGGAGACATGATTCGTTTAAAGAAACTTAATTCTGACAATAGTGCTAGATCTAAATTCATCGTAATTTTCATCCCCACGACCTTATAACTCTTTAACTCCTATAACTCCCTAACCCTAACCCGGTTTTTGGCTGTGCCCGCCTTGAACATTAACTGAAACGAGATGGGCCCAGAACTCAATGGTTACAAGCAGATGCGTAGCGAGGGGGGCATGTGGGGACATATGTCCCCGGGCGCCAGGTAGTAAGGGGTGCCAAAATATGCTTTTATATTATTTTATTGATGAAAATAATGGGTTTGAGAGTTGAAAAAAAGAAAAAGGAAGCGCTTTAAAATGGATCTTGTCCCCCGGGCGCGAATCTTGTCCCAGGGCGCCAAACACCCTCGCTACGCCGCTGGTTACAAGAGATACCGGTATTATAAATCTGGCTTTTTATGTATAGGAGAACATTTCAAATTTTAATCGGCACATAAACGAAGTCTTGAGACAGGGCCTTAACTTTACGTATACGCTATTAGTGCTTTAGAAGGTTTTTGCGGAATACAAACCTGAGAAAGTTGGGTATATTGGTCAGTGTTACATAATATTGATATTGTTAAGCTTCTAGGATAAGAGTTGGAGGAGAAATTTAGAGGTTGGGTATCTATAGTTATTTGTTTGGGAGGAAGAGAAGTGGTTGAGAGGGAGAGAAGTGGTTGAGAGGGAGAGAAGTCTAAGTGGTTGAGAGGGAGAGGCGAGTATAGGGAAATAGTGGGGAACGGACATTTTGATTGCTGAAAACAACTATGTGGGGAGAGGGCATCAAAGGGGGGGGGCAGAAAAGGAAGGGGTGCTAGTCTAGGGAGGTAAGATGGGAAAGGTAAGAGAGGATATGGTGTAATCATGGGGAAGTTAAGAAGGAGACCGAGGACTCATGGCGCATACGACAGGAACTAAAACTGCACCTCTATCAAGCTAGAGAAACCTAAGAAATAAAACAGCTCGTAACTAAATGAATTATATGGGAATATTTTACAGTTAAACTGTTCTAACATGGTCTTGCAAAATAAAGCAACAACAACACACACAACACACAATGAGACCCACAGGCGGCAGAATGCTGATTTCGCCTCCCCGTTTTAAATCAATAATGTAAGCCATGTTGGTGTATGCAAATGCGCAATCACCCCCCCCCCTTTTTTCCCCATCCAATAGCTCTTGGTCTGAAGTCTTTTGCAGAGGGTTGTTTAGTGGCACACCAGTCAATCATTTTTTTTTCTAACCTTTTCTTTCCTTGGTGACTGCTCCTTGAAGAATTCGTCTTGGCAAGAGATTCCTGCCTGCGTAGCATTTATTCTCGAAAGCTGTCACGGGGCGAAAACACTGGGTGTCCAGCTTTCACAACCAAGAAGGTTCATGTACGCTTACTGTGATATAATATTGTGTTTACTGTTTTACCATGCGCCCCGGTTTAACCGGGATCATCCACGTTTAGCAGCCTTGTCCCGATATGTGAGTGCTTGTTCAGGTCTCAATCTCAGTTTGATAAAAAATTAATGTGCATCGTCTATCTTATATGTAGTCTCATAAATAGTGCTATTTTCAGAAATTGGTTGATATAAAACTCCACATTTAACATAACAAAGCTAAAAATCCACGATGTACAAGATAAATAATGGGCTAGTCAACTGCTCCAGCATTAAGCAGAAACCCGTTCCTCTCCGCCAAAGACAGCGACTAGGCCATGACAGGTTGCAGTTCCGGCTCATATCAGCAAGAAGCCAGTACATGAACTGCTCATTCTTGCCAAAGACAATCAGGGACTGGAATAAGTTTCCAAAATGAATAGTTGAGGCGACAACACTTGAAACATTTGCATCTCTTGCCTCATGCCTTCCAACCCATTGTTCATGATAATCTCACTGAGTGGCCCTTGCAACCAGTGAAATATCCTCCTCAACACCATGCACAGAAACATTGCAAATCCCCTCTACATGCATATGGGTCAGAATGATCAATAAATTGATCGTGAGCCTTTAATATATAAAAGAAGAAGAAGAAATTCTATATGTAAAGAAATTTTAAGCTTGTAATAGGCATTGTAAAAAAGTGCACGTGTAAATATAAGACCACTTTTAATATGAGAGATGAAGCAAATGTTTCAACTGCAGCTTATGAACCCACCACCCCCCTCCAAAAAAAAAAACAAAAAAAAAAAGCAAAAAAAAAAAAAAAAAAAAAAAAAAAAAAAAAAAAAAAAAAAAAAAAAAAAAAAAAAAAAAAAAAAAAAAATTAATATATAAAAGAAGAAGAAAAAATACTATATGTAAAGAAATTATAAAAAAATAAAAGACATTGTAAAAAAGTGCACGAGAAAATATAAGACCACTTTTAATATGAGAGATGAAGCAAATGTTTCAACTGCAGCTTATGAACCCACCACCCCCCTCCAAAAAAAAAAACAAAAAAAAAAAAAAAAAAAAAAAAAAAAAAAAAAAAAAAAAAAAAAAAAAAAAAAAAAAAAAAAAAAAAAAAAAAAAAAAAAACAACAACAAAAAACAACAACCCACTTTTAGAAGAATTAAAAAAAACAAAAAAACATTTATTTTAAGGGTACAAAGATCTGATACAGTAACACAACACTCCGTAATCTTCTCGTCACTATAATACATTTCCCGTTGTTCAGAAGTTAGAAGCAGAGAATAAAGACATTTATTAGAAACTAGACACAAGTGAGAAATATTATTGTTATAGAATTATCAGCCTTTCTGTCACCAAATATCCAACACACACGATGTGAATTTTAAGACATTGCGTTAATTAACTAAATGCCAGCTGGAGGCGAAGTTCAGAAATTGTAACCCGATCAAACGACATGTATTATATAGTGGTGGTCAGGGTCGTGCAAGGGGGGGGGGCGGGTTTGAAGGGGAAGCCACCCCGGGCGCCACCATCAGGCGACGACAAAATATTTAGATACAATTTTAAAACAATATTAATGTTAAGTAAAACTAATAATAAATGATTTGTATCAAAACAGGTCCGGGGACACTTATATTGTCATATTGCCACTAGCATCTCTTCCGTTTTTCTCCATATAAGTGTATAAGGATGCAAATCTTAATTATGGTGTGCAACAAAATTCATCATAGTATTTGGAATTTTTAAAACATTTTCTGGGGAGGGGTTTACTGAAACCCCTTCCTCAATTTTTGAATGGGAGCCTTCGGTGCCCTCGATCCCCCCCCCCCCCCCCCCCCCCCCGCACTTTCTTTAACTTTAATAATTATATTCAAATAAAAACTAGGCATACATACATATGTATTTTTTTGGTGGGAGGGGGGGGGGAAACTCAAGTCGTCACGCCACTAATATAAGAGGAGACCAAGCTGAGTTGAAATTTAATTTCATTAAATGAACCCCTAGCCTCGCCATGATTAACAAGTGTTCTTTACTTAAATTAAGGACCTGGAGTCTCATCGATCAACAAACGAATTATGCAAACTTCTATCAAAATAGTATTATATGTTTTCTGAAATTAACCCATCTATTTAAAGAACCATCGAAATTGCA